GAAAACTTCTCACAGGGACCCACTTCACACGCGGAAGGAGGATCGGCCGGCGAAGGCCGATCCGACTGGCCCTCCCTCACATGGAAAACTTCTCACAGGGACCCACTTCACACGCGGAAGGAGGATCGGCCGGCGAAGCCGGCCGATCCGACTGGCCCTCCCTCACATGGAAAACTTCTCACAGGGACCCACTTCACACGCGGAAGGAGGATCGGCCGGCGAAGCCGGCCGATCCGACTGGCCCTCCCTCACATGGAAAACTTCTCACAGGGACCCACTTCACACGCGGAAGGAGGATCGGCCGGCGAAGCCGGCCGATCCGACTGGCCCCCTCACATGGAAAAACTTCTCACAGGGACCCACTTCACACGCGGAAGGAGGATCGGCCGGCGAAGCCGGCCGATCCGACTGGCCCTCCCTCACATGGAAAACTTCTCACAGGGACCCACTTCACACGCGGAAGGAGGATCGGCCGGCGAAGCCGGCCGATCCGACTGGCCCTCCCTCACATGGAAAACTTCTCACAGGGACCCACTTCACACGCGGAAGGAGGATCGGCCGGCGAAGCCGGCCGATCCGACTGGCCCTCCCTCACATGGAAAACTTCTCACAGGGACCCACTTCACACGCGGAAGGAGGATCGGCCGGCGAAGCCGGCCGATCCGACTGGCCCTCCCTCACATGGAAAACTTCTCACAGGGACCCACTTCACACGCGGAAGGAGGATCGGCCGGCGAAGCCGGCCGATCCGACTGGCCCTCCCTCACATGGAAAACTTCTCACAGGGACCCACTTCACACGCGGAAGGAGGATCGGCCGGCGAAGCCGGCCGATCCGACTGGCCCTCCCTCACATGGAAAACTTCTCACAGGGACCCACTTCACACGCGGAAGGAGGATCGGCCGGCGAAGCCGGCCGATCCGACTGGCCCTCCCTCACATGGAAAACTTCTCACAGGGACCCACTTCACACGCGGAAGGAGGATCGGCCGGCGAAGCCGGCCGATCCGACTGGCCCTCCCTCACATGGAAAACTTCTCACAGGGACCCACTTCACACGCGGAAGGAGGATCGGCCGGCGAAGCCGGCCGATCCGACTGGCCCTCCCTCACATGGAAAACTTCTCACAGGGACCCACTTCACACGCGGAAGGAGGATCGGCCGGCGAAGCCGGCCGATCCGACTGGCCCTCCCTCACATGGAAAACTTCTCACAGGGACCCACTTCACACGCGGAAGGAGGATCGGCCGGCGAAGCCGGCCGATCCGACTGGCCCTCCCTCACATGGAAAACTTCTCACAGGGACCCACTTCACACGCGGAAGGAGGATCGGCCGGCGAAGCCGGCCGATCCGACTGGCCCTCCCTCACATGGAAAACTTCTCACAGGGACCCACTTCACACGCGGAAGGAGGATCGGCCGGCGAAGCCGGCCGATCCGACTGGCCCTCCCTCACATGGAAAACTTCTCACAGGGACCCACTTCACACGCGGAAGGAGGATCGGCCGGCGAAGCCGGCCGATCCGACTGGCCCTCCCTCACATGGAAAACTTCTCACAGGGACCCACTTCACACGCGGAAGGAGGATCGGCCGGCGAAGCCGGCCGATCCGACTGGCCCTCCCTCACATGGAAAACTTCTCACAGGGACCCACTTCACACGCGGAAGGAGGATCGGCCGGCGAAGCCGGCCGATCCGACTGGCCCTCCCTCACATGGAAAACTTCTCACAGGGACCCACTTCACACGCGGAAGGAGGATCGGCCGGCGAAGCCGGCCGATCCGACTGGCCCTCCCTCACATGGAAAACTTCTCACAGGGACCCACTTCACACGCGGAAGGAGGATCGGCCGGCGAAGCCGGCCGATCCGACTGGCCCTCCCTCACATGGAAAACTTCTCACAGGGACCCACTTCACACGCGGAAGGAGGATCGGCCGGCGAAGCCGGCCGATCCGACTGGCCCTCCCTCACATGGAAAACTTCTCACAGGGACCCACTTCACACGCGGAAGGAGGATCGGCCGGCGAAGCCGGCCGATCCGACTGGCCCTCCCTCACATGGAAAACTTCTCACAGGGACCCACTTCACACGCGGAAGGAGGATCGGCCGGCGAAGCCGGCCGATCCGACTGGCCCTCCCTCACATGGAAAACTTCTCACAGGGACCCACTTCACACGCGGAAGGAGGATCGGCCGGCGAAGCCGGCCGATCCGACTGGCCCTCCCTCACATGGAAAACTTCTCACAGGGACCCACTTCACACGCGGAAGGAGGATCGGCCGGCGAAGCCGGCCGATCCGACTGGCCCTCCCTCACATGGAAAACTTCTCACAGGGACCCACTTCACACGCGGAAGGAGGATCGGCCGGCGAAGCCGGCCGATCCGACTGGCCCTCCCTCACATGGAAAACTTCTCACAGGGACCCACTTCACACGCGGAAGGAGGATCGGCCGGCGAAGCCGGCCGATCCGACTGGTTTAGAATAACTTGGGCGGGGCCGCGCCGCTGGTAACAAGTTAGTGTTTTATTCGCACAGGCCAATCTCATACCAGTATAGTGTTCTTCAAGAAAAGGTTTTCTCTTCGTATTCTGGAACATATAGCCCATCATCTTGTAACCTATTCGGTTGGCGGTTGGTTGGCCTGTGCTGGAGCCGACGCGGGTTTTGACTCCTTGACGTGACAAGCCGGATACTTGCCACTACACCACCATTCCCTCTGATGGAGCAGAAGAAGGTGGCGACATGAAGACCATTTCTAATCCTCTGCACATTTCAAGCCCTCGTAACCCTCTTCTATTTCATTTCCTGACTTCCTGTCCTTCCCATGCAATTCTGGATGAAGGGCTAGATCGGTAGGATGCACCTATGTTGTTGTTATTTATAATTGGTATTTTGTTGTTATTTATAATTGGTATTGTCTTAGTCAGTCGGGGCGGTGCGTATTGTCTTAGTCAGTCGGGCGCGGTGGCAGAGAGCGGACTGAGTCCGCCTACGGCTTTTTTTTTTTAACCAGTAGTGAACTGCTAGTGATCGATGTGGAAAGAGAACCGAATCAACTGTAACAATAGCAACTGTAACCAAATGATTTGCTACTGTTCACTTTTAGTTGATTTAGGGAACATAATGCCCTGAACGTTATCAGTAGAAGCTCTTTTTTCGAGAGAATGCTCCCATGGAACCTTTTGAACAAAATTTGGAATAACGAAGCCAAGGGAACCACCAATTCTTCCACATGAAAATATCGTTCACTTCAGTAATGATTTTCTTTGATATCCTCTTATGGTTAGAGCAATTTCCGGGAAGCGCCGCTCACTGTGGCGTTTTGTTTTCTCTTGACATTAAATTTATAACTGCATTTTGATAGCTCCATAACGTCTGCGCGATGCAGGCGTAACTAGAATTATTCATCGGCTGAATATTCTTTCAAGTAGTCGGTGACCTTTTAGCTGGCCTATGAGCCCCATCACTTTATTTTTCATGGTCTTTTTCACTTTTATGCTGCTTGCTCATGGACCTGTTGTCACCTATATTTCGTCAAACACGACTCATTCAAAGTCGATGTTCAAATGTTTATGGGATGCTTAAAACTGTCTAGCGCGCTATAGTCAATCTTTGATGTTGTTTGTCTATTTCCTATTCCTTCTCTAATATATGAACACTCCAAATTCAAGCAGTGCGAGTAGAGAAGCGTTTCGCAAAGTGGTCGTTTTGGGCGGGCGCAGTGTCCACAGGGGGGGGGGGGCATTTTGCACTTTCGTTGCTTCACTCGTTCTGGTTTACGAGCCTCACTCTGGTGAAACCTGTGAACATTTGTGAAGCTGGAGCAAGCTCGTCAAGCCATCAGTAAAACCTGTGGTAAAACCTGTCAACCCGAAAAGAGGCTGTCCAGATGGGTCGGCACGTCGAAGGAATCGCGTGGTAAATGACTCCTCCTCCTCCTGTCGAAACCGCGCCGTTTTGGGGTGTTTTGTTATAAGGCACCTATTTGGGGGCGGGGGTGGGGGTATATGACCGACACAATCGTAATGCGGCAATGTTTATGGGGTCGTGGTTATGACGTCGTGCCACAGGGTGAAAGATGTTCTAGTGCGTAATGGCGACAGTGACAACGGGTAACAAACGGCCACGAATGTCCACGTGTCGTGTGTACATGGTCAGGTGCTCTTGTCGACAGGCTTAAAAAATGTCGCGCCGATCGCCGCGCGAGCAAATTACGATTGTTTTGACCGTCATTCATTTCAGAGTAACATCTTTATATCTGGAATTACGATTTTAGGCAATATGCTGCTTTCTGTTGACTGCAGCGAATACTGTGTTGAGGGGGGGGGACATCGCCCTTCTTCTGCTCCCCATCACGTGTCTAGCTATCAAGTGGAGACCTGTGACCTGGAGACCCTACTTGTCAGCTCTTATAAGGCAGTGAAATACCGTATCAATACCTTCTGAAGGCTCGACGACTTCAGTTTCGCAGGAGTTCGCAAGTTTTACCTAGCGAGACTTGTAAACTGGAGCGATTGACGCAGGAGAAGCAGAATGTGCCCACCCCACTCCTTTCTCGCCACACTGTGCCCGGTAGGGTTTGCAACCCTCCCAATACATGGATGTTATCTCTCGAGAACTGTACATTAATTTTCTCCTTTTTTCTGATGAAAATTTTTGTTTACTCGGAATGTTTTTTTTTCGCTGGAACGTGATGGCACTATTGCAAAATGACGAGGCCCGTGCGATTCCCTGTAAAAACATCTCCATAGCGCGCAGTTACTATTCATTACTTTCCAGATATTAAAATTTTTCCATGACTAAATATGCTACCGATGAACGAGAAAGTTTTGTAAATGCGGAGTGTGATGGGTATTAATAGCAGCTTCTTCATGTGCGCGAATGCCATCGTTGCTGTGCGTCACCTAGTTCTCATTGTAGAAAGCGGACGCACGAGAATCAATGGTGGGAGCTGTTTGACTCGAAGACGGGTCGTTATTACTACTATAACGCTTCGTCGATGAAAACGATCTGGCAGCGACCGATGGGACCCGAGATTGACATCATTCCTCTTGCAAAGCTGCAGACTTTGAAAGAGAATACAGAAAGCTCAGAGCATGCCCGGGTAAGTTCACTCTTGGTAACCCTTATATTTTGTAGATCTGACTTGGTTGTCCTATCGTGCTGAATGAAAGTTTCAGGTACGGCGGACCTGTGAAACTCAGACATCGCCAGCTATCCGCAGAGTGGTTGGGGGATCTCGTCGTGTGATTGCCCAAAATATTGGGCCCGAAGCGGGTGTTATTATGACAAGGACAGCTAGTCGGTCATCGAATGGCACCATGAACGGCATGCAGCAATCTTTCGATGTTAGTCATCACCAACAATGTGCTATCAAAAGCTTTTTTCTTCCCATACTGTCTATTTGCCGTACTTTTTGAGTGAGCATTTTCATATTTGTGTTAGGCCTTGTAATTCATTTCTTCCTATTCAGTGGATGTCGCTTGATGATCAAAGCGATAGCCTGTCGATTGGAGATCGAGGTGATTATCGTGACTACAGTCGGGATTTTGGACGATCACCGCGTCAGTTTCCTCCGTTTCCCACCATGGGGACGACGTCTACGATGTCGACAGCTCCTTCTGCAGATTCTCTTCCACCACGATCATCACGGTAACTTTGAATTCGTACTGTTTCGTCTATATTTCCTTCTTTTGCTTAAGTCGAGGTCAGTTTCTCGAGGTTCCCCTTTCTTAGTCGTATCCTTTAGATAGATTAATACTTTGCTTCAGCGTTCTGAGAGCTTAGAGCGTTACGGTAGTGGGAATAGGAGAGTGTAGTATCGATCTAGCTTTTTGAGCGTAAACCAGTGTTTTGAGCGGGAAGTTTTGAAGCGACGGCTGCTGAAAACTCTGATGTACCCTCAAAATGCCCAGATTGATACCTTATACTTTCTTCCATTCGCGACGGGAAGTATGACGCTGATTCGCCAGCCTGTAGCCTAGGCCCCGTAAACTCAAAAAAGGCCGCACATAGGCGCACTCTCGAAGACCGGCTGCTCACAAATGATGCTATAAAACGGCTCAATATCCCATCGAATATCATTAAACAATGCGAATTCATGACGGCGAGTTGCTTTGGACGGGACCGCACATGTCCATGGATGTGGGAGTTTGCAGGCCGTCGTAACCACAAGCGATAAGACGGATTTTACTGTCTCTTTGTCACTGTGCATGTTCGTTTACAAAGGTATGTGAATTGTTGAAGTTCATTCGACGCCCTTTCTCTCCAACATTTTTTTAGCCGATGTCGCGTTTTCGGGATTTTCAGTTTGCCTGAGTTTTGGATCGAATGAAGAAGGAGAATCTTGTGTTGAGCACAAGCAAACGTCCTTTCTGGTGTGAACCTATTACATAAATTCAGAACTCCTAGCCTCGCTCTGAGAACCTGTCATGGAGTGCATAATCTACAAAATGAAGCTCGTGATATTTTGTAGCTTTACAAAGGTTTAGAAGTTTTTTAAGGACAGAAAGTTCTCATTCCCCTCGCCATTACACCCCATAGCCGTTAGCCCAGTTCGACTACAGCTGCACCTGAGTATTTATGTTTCCCATTCCGTTTTGCCATCTATATTTCACTGTGATGCCGCCAGCGATTGCCTGAACATTTCTATTTGCAGGTCGTCGAGTCCGCCAACACAGAAGCGTCAGTTGTTCCCCACAAACACGGGTCCAAAAAAGTCCACGAACGCTGGTGGTAAGTAAATGAGATTCCTACCTGGAACTTGTGTTTAAGAGGGATCATTGGTGCGAAATTAACGTCCAGTCATTTCCAGGTTGGGCTAAAGAAGCACCTAAACAACCTTTGTCAGCACCAGACAATAAGCAGCTCAAGAAAGAATCCCCAGCAATTTTCAAGCTTATCCAAGGATATATGGGTGACAGAAAAAGCAAGACGCCGATCGATCAGGTTTGTTCCATTTCTCAATGTTGAGTCTGATTGATTCTTTGTTTGCTCTCTCGAAAGTTTTATGCATCTGTCGAGCTCGAAAATGGGAGACGGGCAAGACAATCTTAGTTTATCGCGTCGTCGCGTGCGGCTTGTTGTGCGGTAACTTCTCTCTCTGAGTTAGTTTGCCGACTCTAGCTGTGAAGCTTCTATGAACTAAAGCGGAAACTCGACTCCGTGATGGGGAACATCGATTCTCTCCGTTCTTTCAACTCTCAATTTCGAACAGTCAGGCAGAACAATTCGTCCGTCGAGCGCGGCGTCGCTGGTGGCATATTGCGATTGTCTTGTCCCATACCTCTGAAAGTCTCCCTCTTCCCCGCCTCCCTTCCTTTTCTCTTCCCTCTTTTTCTCCACCGTCCAAAGGCTCGCCCGACCAGTCGACGAAAAAATGCCTTTTACCTTCGCAGCAAGACAAGTTCTGGTTGATAGATGCCTTGTAACTATCCCAACCAATTCTACTTTATGTTGAAGTCCTATTTTTTTTCTAGTTGAGCGAATCGTCTTTTTTAGCAAGCGTTGACCTTGTGCGAGCTTGGGCTTTCAAAACAAGAGTGTGCAGATGAGGCTGTGGCTCAACTCATGCAGCAGCTTACGGATAATGAGCGTCCAGATAGTGTTAGGTAAGGATTTTTGCCTTGTAAACTCCTTACGTCAGGCTCTAGTTGGTTGATGTTGAATTCGGAGTTTTTTTTATCTTTCTAAATCACGTGTTTAGGCGCGGATGGGAGCTGTTGGCGATTATCCTGAATTTCGTTTCGCCGTCAGAAAAGCAGTCCGCGTCTCTAGCAGAGTTCATTGATAGGAACTCCGAGAAGATTTTTGATAGGCCAGAGGTAAGTTTCAGAAATGTGAATTACTTCAGCGGCCTCTTGGAGTGTATTTGATTGTAACTGATTTATTCTTAATGATTGTTTGTTGGGGCACTGTTCGGTCTGGAGGGTGCATTTTACACTTTCGCGAGTACTTTTTGTTAGTTCATAATGAGTGATAGGTCTGTCTTTGGTAGAGACCTAAACTCCTGTGAAGCTGCGAAATGGTGCGTGTGAGTTACTTTAGTCACAGGAAGTGACAGGTTTCAATAAGTTAAACTGTCGAAGCTTAGCTGCGTAGCATTTGGTGCTCTGAAAAACCGAAGTGCGCTTTGAGTGGTAGTCAAAGGTTCTTTCAAACGATGCTCTCATGCTGAATAAAACGTCAAATGGTTGGTTTCAGGTGGCTGTTTCTCATTTTGCACAACAGTGCGCAAAGCGGCTGTCCAAGTCACAAATTCGACCAAAACCTTCACTTGCTGCAGTACAAGAAGCTAGGGTAAGGGTATATGTTACAATTTACTTCCTTTTATTTCTTCATCTTTTTAGTATTAAGGCCCTATGCGTTAATTTCAGTGTGCTCTCTGAGTATGGTGTAGCGTTTTATGTTTTGATTTTGGTGCACGTTTTCTAGACTGTCTTTTTTTGTACGTACACATTCGGGCGTACGCGAACTGATTTTGTTGAATTTTTGTTGGTCATGCATTGAATTCAATACACTTTCCGGAAAACGCAAGTTAGGCTTTATGTGTTCTATACTGCCCCTTTCTGCAAAATTCAGGCTACATTTTTAGCTAAATTTCTTTGCGGGAGTTGAGTTGTCTGAACTTTGTCTCTTGGGCTACTTTGACTCGAACGCGAATGTGGCATTTGCTTTGCTCGAAACCACCCGCGTCACATGCGCTGGCGCCAGGCTCATTGATGCGCCACGCTGAAAGGTTGCTTCGAACGGTAGCTGTTTGTCGAGATAACACCTGACAAGTGCGCTGTACGCGCCTGCGCCAAAGCTGGACTGAGACGCGCCGGCGAGTGTAGCGCATCCGCGAAGCCTCGACGAGCTGCCATGTTCGTGTTTATGGAGTACGATTACCACTAGGGCGAAGTTTCATTCGAATCTAACACTAGCACATAGTCTCGATCGGAAATGGTGAGTTGCGCTGCTCAAATGGCAATGACGAGATGGTATATAGTACGAAATTGGAGAATAAACACTAAACACGTGCACGAAATGCCTCATATGCAATACCATGCTCAACCGCGCTTGTACATACAGAAGCAAAGAAAGGTGAAGAAAGCGGTCAGATAAGTCACCTCACCCTCACCATTCAAAATAAAGAGGGCTGTACTGCATCACTAGCATAAGAAAGTTGGGCATTGCCGTAGCTAGTGAGAGGAAGAGTGGCCGCGTCGCGAGCGGGTCGCGCTTTTGTACGTATTTTAGAGCTGCGAATATACTGTGTCTTCCATATTTGCGCACAGGACTACCATGCACAAGGAAGACGTCTGCGCGTCAAATGAACGCAGGGTGTACCTTTAAGGTCAAGCAGTCTATGAACCAGCATCATTCCAGGTGCACATATTCAATCCTCCACAGTTTTCGGCATCATTAACTGAGTTAATGGAGATGCAAGCTGAGCGATATCCTCAGCTACAATTGCCTTGGATCGAGACGACTCTTATCGAGCTCATGTACGAGTCTGGTGCTCGAAGGACTGAGGGTTTATTCAGGTAACTCGCTTTGTTGTATCGTATGGGATCGCCATATATAGATTTAGCCCTTCAATTTTGCCAAGCATTTCTTTAACAGCACTCATAGTTTGTTCACTATCCCAAATACGTGGAATTTCTCAGAGTGCCAGCCGACCCGGACCAACTGATGGCTACTCGTGCTCGGCTTGATATGTTCGTCGTTCCGGTGGTGCATGATCCACATGTGCCAGCTGGTTTGTTGAAGTTATGGCTGCGACAGCTCCCAGAGCCACTGATACCACACGCTTTCTACCAGCGTGCGCTAGCAGCATCAGAAAATCCATCTGAACTTGCTCGCCTCGTCAAAATTCTCCCAAGCATTAATCAGCTTGTGTTAACGAAGCTTGTAGCTTTCCTACAGGTTTGTGCTTTGGCCATTACCTTATTGTTTCCTTCTTGACTTCATGGAATGATGATTTTGCAGGATCTGTCTCGCGAAGAGGTTGTGGCGCATACGAAAATGGACGCGTCAAATTTGGCTATGGTGATGGCACCGAATGTGTTGAGGTAATGAGCTTATCACTCTTTTTCGTCGGCTTTTTTCGCCTTAGACCCCTTATTCTGGTGAATCAAAGTTTTCAACATTATCCCAGAGAGGTGCGATTATCAGCCTTCTGTGAGCTCATATACCTCGAACCTTTATTGAGTTGATTTTGCACAGATATATAATAGAAAAATTGCACTATTTACCCTTTACTGCCCCCATCTGAAATCTGGCCACTTCTTGACCGTCTTTTTTTCCATGGACAGATTTGCAAATATGGTATCTTGGCACTTTGACCTCCTGAAAACAAATACCACATTCGCTTGTCCCGAAACCTCGTGGCGCCCGCGATACAGGCGCCGGTGATTTGGGGTATTTTGGCGCCAGTGCTGTGGCGCCGGGAAGTTTCATGCCGAGCGGATGTGATATTCGTGTTCAGGAGGTCAACTACTCCTGGGAAACAAGTTTTCAGCGAATTTGGTGATTTAGGGTATTTTGGCGCCGGCGCCTGTGGCGCGGGCGCCAGGAGGTTTCGTGCCTAGCGGATGTGATATTCATGTTCAGGAGGTCAAACTACCCCAGGAGACAAATTTTTAGCCAATTCCGTTCACGTAGAAAAAAGTCGTTCAAGAAATGGCCAGATTTCAGATGAGTGGGACAGTAAGGGTAAGTAGTGCCAGAAATAAATATAATGCGAAAGCCATGAGTCGCATTTGATTGACTGATGAACCAGTACGGTGAGGAATTTTGCTGCAACAGATCGTGAGGATTACGTATCCCAGTTCGCTTTGGAAGGGATGACTAGGTACCTGGCGGTGGTGGGGGGGGAGGGTAATGAGTTGCTTAAAGTGTATTTATACTTGGCGGTAGCATTTTGAGCGTCTGTCAACGTTTTGGGCGACTTGTAAAGTATTTTTATCTGTCCAGCGTTTTGAACATCCACCAGCGTTTTCGGCCACTAGGGGAACGTAGACATCGATCTAGCGTTTTGAGCGTACGCGAGTTTTTTGGCTTTGATCGATACCTATACGTTGCTGGCTCAAAACGCTGCAGGACGTGAAAAGCCGTCGGACGCCCAAAACGCTGCCGCAAATCATGAACGCACTCTTATACCTAAGGAGAGGGAGCTCCTGAACGGGAGAAGCAAAACCCTTTTGAGCAAAAACGAAACAGTTCCTGTTTGGGTAGACATAACGTTGGGGAAGGAGCACGCCGCGAGGCTAATGGTAAGCCGCAGACCGCCAATGCGCTCTCCAGGCTGAAATGGGGGGAGAAAGGATCCGGTCTTGGTGTGAAGGTGCAGGAGAACAGATGTAGTCATACCCCTCTTCTTCTCCCTGGATTTGCGGTGTATAGAGCTCTACAATGCTATTGTGTTTATGTATGACACCCTTAAGCAATCTTTGTCCTGCACAAGTAAGTCTTGATCAGATTTTAAACGATTCATTGAAAGCAAAGAACCGTTGTGGTTGGATTTCATCTTGCGCTTTCCAATGTTTCTCTTCGGCTGGCAGTTAAAATCAGATCTTGTTTTCCAGATGTGAGAGCGAAGATCCTCGGGTTATTTTCGAGAACACTCGTCGAGAAATGACGTTCTTGAAAACGTTAATTACGAGCTACGATACTTCTCATATCATAGGAGTGGCGTGATTCCCAATAACCCTTTAATTTAGAAGCTATGTAGGAATTTGGCCCAAATACCTCTTGCTAGATATCAATTATATTCTGCCATCGTGTTGTGGTGATTGCCATATTGTTATTCAGAGAGAACTTTTCCCATTTTTGCTGTCCCTTCAGTGTCCCATTTCCAGTCATTTGCCGTAACCTTTGCCATAGTAATGAGGATGTCATAACTAATTTCTTATCAACCAGTTTTTGTATTTATTTTGTTGAACTTATAGGATGAAGTCAGTCAGAGTTACCCTTTATTGGGTGTAGTTGAGAATATCCGAGGTGCGGTTATGCGCATGTACTAGCAAATGCTCCTAGCCAGTTGACCCGAGAAAGCATTTGGGCGTCATACTAGTCAGGAGCGGTGGTTACGTCCCATATCCCTTATTTTAAGGGTCTCCAAGATTTCCCAATCGGCAAATTCTTATGTTCATTTGATGAAGGGGACTACTAAACAGCGTCTCTGCGTACTCTTTGCCCAGCCAAAGTTCAGACTTACTTTAGTGCGCAGACAGTCAAAGCCGCAGCGGGTTATCCCAGTGGTGCAGACGGTCTTTTCGTGACTTTGACCTTCTACGTCTTAGCTTCAGCCTTCTTCTGGGAGAAGAGACGCAGAGGCGCTGTGCAGTGCGGTCTACGGACAACTTGAACTTAATCCCTTTAAACGCGTCGATGTTCTCTTTTTCTCTGCACTCTCTCCTCCGCAAGTCACTCTATGGCCCTAGTGACTTCGCTCACTTCAGCCAGCACAGACTGTAAGTAGCTCACCCACTTCGGGGCCCCTCCCCTTGAAAAATCCCGTTTCCTGGCTCGCCATACGTTTTTTGCACGTTTCGATGCTTTGGCAGCCGCTGCCCTCTGTCCGTCTGCGTCACAGGGTTTCGTAACAGGACCATGCACAAAAGTTCAAGGTGTCACGTAACCGCAATACGATGAATATAGAACGTTCTAAAAATGAGGCCGTCAAATGAGTGATACAGGACGTAGGCTGTCATTATCTAACTGATTTGATGCCAAAATGCTGTATCGGGTCAACTAGCTAGGAATGTTGGTTTAAGCGCGATGGCGCCCCGCGGACCTCCTGAACTCACCCCACTTTATTCGTAGGCCTAGGGCTAGTGTGAAATAGCTGTGTTTAGAACCTAGTCGAACCGTTTCTGTTCGAATAATCTTCCAAAGACCCCTGAAGCGTTATACAACATTATCGTCATTAACAAAATGGGAATCCAAAACTGGTTTCACTCTCTTATCAGTTAGGATTTATACTTATTTTTTTATTTCTCAAGGCTTCATGATATTTGTGCGGTTCTGTAGTGATGTTTACGTCCTTTACTATGCGCCCAATGTATTGTAATAATTTGCTCTACTTATCATATTGTACACCAATGTACAGCTAGTGCTATTTGAAGATTGTATATAAGAATAAATCTTTTCACAATTCAGAACTAATAGTAATGCTGTATGGCGATGCTTGCGCTAGTTATATTGAATTGTTCACGCTTATGCTTCGCGAAGCATAATTATTCACGCATTCTGCATGAATGATTATTGTGCAGCGAGGAAAGTGATGTGAGCTCGGGTGGTTTTTACGACCTACCCAGGGAGACGGACATCGCAGTATCGCGCGCCGTATCGTGCTGCGGTCCGCGGTAAACTCTCGACCACCGAAACTGGTGCTGATTGAAGTGGAGACAAGACTTCCATGCCAGGCGATATAAAATTTCTCGGTTTTTTGAGCCTCAACTTTAAACGGCTAGGCAGAACAACTCGTCCGAGCGTCGTGGACGTCGCTCGCCACGCCCACTAGCGCGGCATGTTATTATTGTCTTGTCACATAGTCCTCCCATCCCCCCCCCTCCCCACAAGACTTGCTAGGCTTTGTTCTCGTGGGTGTAGTCAGAGCTGATCATTACTAGTGATTATCATTGGGCAAAAGTGTGGTGGTAAATGAAACCGCTCACCAGGCATGCGGTATGTGGTTCAGGGGTTCTCGGACCACCACATCATCGTTGTAGGAACAGAGTGGGAGTATCCCACTTCGGAAGAATTTTCCCCCGACTGTCGACTTATCCCATTTCAGGTGTTATGCCTAGCACCCTTCCCGTGCTCAACGGTAAATTCTTGCGAAAACTCGTGGGGAGAGGGTTCTAGCGGAGGCGAGTATTTGGGGATAGTCATGTTTTGCAAAAATGTTCCATAAGGCGTTGATGTGGCCGGACCGGATCGGCTCTCGACAACGCGAAGCCTTCTCTCTCGGGGCCAGAGAACTGGTAATGGTAGCAGACTTTTCGTGGAGGAACCCTTGTGCATAATCCTACGAAAGCCGTTCTATAGACCCAGTCACATTCACTATGCCACCACGATTTGGTGTGAGGGTAGACTGCATGGCGCACCCCAAAAGGGATCAACCAACTCTCGAAGCATTATCCTTTTATCATGGTTGGCTGACATCAAACCTTCAAATGAGCTTGTCTGTAGTTGTGCATGCTGAGAACGTTTCCCCGTTAACTAGGGATGGGGAGGGATTGGGGCTAATATACTAATTTGTAGTTGTTGGGTTAGAGTTACTACTATGGAGATATCCCAACGAGCGCGAGAAGAGAAGATTACTTCCGATTTGAAAATTTCGCCTTTGTTTCGCAGCAGGAGCCTCACACCACCCTCGCTCTCGCTTCCGTTTCCTTTTCCGGTTCCTCTCAGAGGTGGCATTAGCCCACGCGTCTCGTTAAGAGCGATGGCGGAGTGCATGAGAAGATCCAAAATAGGACAAGGTGTGGGGAGGGGTATTTTCAGTGTATGGGGAAATGGACAAAAAATGACGGGTAGGAAAAATAGCGTGCTCGGTGTTAATTAGTCCCATGAGATGCACCGCGCATACTATTCA